AAAAATGCTTCTAAAAATCAGAAAAAAAATTCCAAAACCTCAGAACGTCATTGGCAATATATCATGAAAAAAATTAAAAATTTCATGCACTCTGAGAATATGCGAGGCTTCGTGCAACTGGGACAACTCTTGTATACATTCACGCACCAATTGTTGACGATGCATTTTCGGAAGTGTCGCTCGCTTCACACGCACCCCGACGTTAGAACGAAAATTATTAAAAATGCTGTTGATATTCTCTGTTGATATGTAAAAATGAAAATTATTCAATATGTATACAATTTCAACAACAAAAATCAAGAATGGAACGACGTCGACGACGACGAGGAGGGACTGAACAAGAGTCGACGATTGATTCTCCGGTCGGGACACGAGGTAGTCTTTTATACCCGGCCCCGGAGGCGATTATATTGGGTTGCTGTCGAGGCCAAGAGGAAGTTTGGTCAACCAAGTATAGAATAATAATCACCGCGCAAGCAAAACGCGAGAGAGAGAGTGAAATGTTGATGATAATATTATTAATATCATATAAGTAATGATCAACCCATGACCAGCAAGAGAACCCCGACGACATTCAAGTTCATGGGCGTTGAGCGACGTCACTGTCGACGACGACGACGACGACGAGAGAAATTCCTGGAACCAAGAATGCGGACAGCAGCTGGAACTCTATATATTTTGTGTTCAACTTGATGTTTTTTTAGAGACATATTTTTCATGATTCGGTCATTTATTTTGTCATGTATCTCGTTCTTACGGTTATTTCCTTGTACGGTACATAAATGTACAGTACTTTTTTTTACGACTTTTGGTCATGTTCTTGAGAGAGTGTTTCGGGCGTTATACTGTATTTTATTGTTGTCTCGTCACGATGAGTGATCACTGTTTATTATTATTAATTTTTCTTTTAGAGGTGCATGCTGTGAAAGTTTTTTGTTATTGTAAAGAAAATGATAATGTGTGCTTCGCAGTGATCAATTAGCAGGGATCAACGCCAAAAAATCCGGATGCGACAAAAATTGATACTTTTCCCAAACTTTGAATCTTATACTATTGCAAGTGCCTCATGAGGAACTGCATTTCATATTTCGGCATGAAAATGTGTTTTAAAAAATTTCAAACTTTGACCAAAAGTTCATATCATGATTGAATTGGCAGACATAAAATGTTGTATGAACCAGGATTTGATTGATTGATTGATATGCAGTAAAAGCTTTATTTGCATTTTTATAGCATTTACAAGGTTCACAAAATTTTCCCACGCCCTCCTCCCTCAAATATTGATTTGGCAGATTTTGGCATTTCAAGAATAATTCAAAATATACGTATTTCAAGAAAGTACATAGCAGTACTGTACATATGAATACATGAATGATGAATTGCTTTAGTCATCTTCTCAAAGATGACACAGATCATTTTTGTCCATCTCTATTATCTATTGTACTTTTTGAAAGATAATATATTTTGAGATGATTACCTTATTTACTCAAGTATATCACGCGCACCTTTTTTCCCAAATTTCAGAAAAAGAGGGGTGCGCGTCATAAGCAGGTACAAAATTTTCAAGAAGTTTTTGGAAGTTATGTTTGCATTATACTTGATTATAATGGAGAAATTTGGAACAAATATAACAAGAAAACATTTTTCTATTGAAAAAGTTGAAAATTCATCAGATATTTATTTCAATTCACGCCTAAAGTCAAATTTTTTGTCTTTATTTTTGAAATTTTATGGTTTTAGATTTACTAAAATTTGGGGTGCCTGTCTTACTCGGGGATATGATTTTTGCAAAATGTTCAACTGAAAAACCCCTGTGCGCACCTTACTTGAGGGTGCGTGGTACTCGAGTAAATATGGTATTGATCTGTTCATCCTTTTTTGTTGAACCATTGCTTCTTTTGCAGTGATCTATTGATTGCTTCTGATTGTTTTCTGTTTATTTGGCAAAGAATGTAGAACAATACTTGTGCAGGTATATAAGTCAGCAACCTACTGAGGGTCATGTAGGAAAAAGTTTTTTGTTATTGTAAAGAAAATGATAATGTGTGCTTCGCAGTGATCAATTAGCAGGGATCAACGCCAAAAAATCCGGATGCGACAAAAATTGATACTTTTCCCAAACTTTGAATCTTATACTCTTGCAAGTGCCTCATGAGGAACTGCATTTCATATTTCGGCATGAAAATGTGTTTTAAAAAATTTCAAACTTTGACCAAAAGTTCATATCATGATTGAATTGGCAGACATAAAATGTTGAATGAACCAGGATTTGATTGATTGATTGATATGCAGTACAAGCTTTATTTGCATTTTTATAGCATTTACAAGGTTCACAAAATTTTCCCATGCCCTCCTTCCTCAAATATTGATTTGGCAGATTTTGGTATTTCAAGAATAATTCAAAATATACGTATTTCAAGAAAGTACATAGCAGTACTGTACATACAAATACATGAATGATGAATTGCTTTAGTCATCTCCTGAAAGATGACACAGATCATTTTTGTCCATCCCTATTATCAATTGTACTTTTTGAAAGATAATATATTTTGAGATTATTACCTTATTTACTCAAGTATATCACGCGCACCTTTTTCCCAAATTTCAGAAAAAGAGGGGTGCGCGTCATAAGCAGGTACAAAATTTTCAAGAAGTTTTTGGAAGTTATGTTTGCATTATACTTGATTATACTGGAGAAATTTGGAACAAATATAACAAGAAAACGTTTTTCTATTGAAAAAGTTGAAAATTCATCAGATATTTATTTCAATTCACGCCTAAAGTCAAATTTTTTGTCTTTATTTTTGAAATTGTATGGTTTTATATTCACTAAAATTTGGGGTGCCCGTCTTACTTGGGGATATGATTTTTGCAAAATTTTCAACTGAAAAACCCCTGTGCGCACCTTACTTGAGGGTGCATGGTACTCGAGTAAATATGGTATTGATCTGTTCATCCTTTTTTGCACTTGGTAACGAAGAAAACGTCACTAGATAACTAACGAAGACTAACAAAAGACAAATAAACCGTTTCTTACATCTTGTTATGAACACGTCCATATATTCAGTCGTTGGATGACTCCCAGTACATCCTAACAATTCCCTGCATCATATGACAGGCAGAATACCAAAGGAAATTAGTGTGAATCAGGTGATCACTAGGAATTCCCAGTGATCATGTGATAATCAGCACAGCACCTGGTTTTCAATTGTGCAATTCTCTTTTGCCTAAAAGCGTTTTTCCTCTTAATTTACACAGTCTTTCATTGCATTCTGTTGTCCAAAGAATAGGTGTCTGTTGAGATATTGAACGATTTGTGAACAATTTGGGACTGATTCTTTATTATTCATGTCGAATACACAAGTCTTTCTGGAATTAAACTGAGAATCCCATGCTATATTCCCTGGCAGTTTGTGTCTTTAAATTATTTGCTTGAATCGTTTTCCTTCTTTGTGGGCCTTTCAATTTCAGGGTAGAAAAAACATCTGTCCCAGTGAGCAAGAATTTATCCCATTTCTGTCCAAATTTTCTCCAAATAAAGAAACTAATAAAAAAATCATCCAAATGTTGTTTGCTGTATTTTTATCTTGTCCAAAACTAAACCAAGCATGCCTGTTTGGGGTATCACATGGGTTCTGGTGGACAAGTTCTCCAAACTTGTCCACCAGAGCACAGTGTTTCTTCTGTGGCAGTGAAGTTTGGAGAACCTGTCCACAAACCACAAAATTCTTTTGGTTGACCATTTCTCCAAACTTGTTTGACATCACTCACAATTTGGCAGACAATTTTGGAGAACATGTGGCGGTCTCTTAACCAGAGTTCGTCTGTTCAAGTAGGTCTCGACAACCGTCTGCAGAAGTTAATGGTTCTTGTTCTGGGTACTTCATGACCCGACACCGACAATTTGATTTGCCAACCTAACGGTTACAGGAGCTCATGGATTCAACCCTAGATTAAATTATCAATTCTTTACCTAGGTGAGTGCATCTATAGTTTTAGACCATACATGGGAATAATTAGGACAGCTCTGTGATTAGACATATTTAATGAACAGATGCGAGTATGTAACTAATAATTTCGTCATTTCAGTAGGTTTAGTAAATTGGACGTTTTGTGTAATATTCATGTTAGTTTATTAAGCTACGTAACAGCACAGAAGGGAGAAAATCCTCTAGGCAGGAATGTAAACTCCTTGATGATTTTTCAAAATTGTTTTGAATTTTGTTTTAAAAAAAGTGAGGTTATGGATGGAACTGGGGTTCTCTCCAAAACTTCTCCATTTCTGATCCAAAAGTTATCCAAAATGATTATGACTTTTGGATAAAAACTGGACAAGTTGTCCAATAAAAACTGGACAAGTTGTCCAATAAAAACTGGACAAGTTGTCCAATTTTTATTTCTAAATGTATCTGAAGGGAACTTGTCCAAAGCTTGTCCATTTTGGCAAGATTTTTGGAAAAGTGCTTTGGATAATTTTTTCAGCAGAAATTTAAATTTTCCTGCTCACTGGAGTGCAGAAGAAAACCACATAGATTTCATAGAATCTGATATTTTGGCATTGAAAGGAGCCCAGAAAGTAAAGAACAAGGATAACTTTTGCTATATTGTGCACACTGCACAGATGAAAGAACAAATTCTGAAAAAAGCACAAAATCAGCTTATTTTGGATTAGGAATTCAGAATAAATCTTTAATGAAATGTCTCAACAGATTTTTTGAGTAGAAATACAGCAGCTCAATATGTTCAAAGAGATATCAGAACTCAAAATAAAATGCAAACTTAAAAGTCCTTTTGCAACCTTTTCACAGGAATAGAGTTCGGTACTAGACCTACAACCCAGTCTAAAACAGTTCGAAAGTCACAGGAGTTCGGCTTAGTCGACGTACAGCCCCAGACTGAATCAATTTTCTTTAGTCTATACAGTATACTGTACTTATAGTCAAGGAGATAAGCATTTTTTTGCTTCATATGCAATACAAATGAAACACCACCGACGCACATTTTTGGAAGACACCGTTTATTATTCAGACAAGATCAATCCTTTGTTCAACCACAGGTAAAGTATAGCTCTTCATCAGGTACCTTCAAATATACAAATAGAATAAAAGGTTGAATGGTCTTCACGCCAAAGGAAAAAAAAAAGTTGTGCAGAGCTGGATGAGAGATGTTCTTGAAATAAAGAAAAAAAACACAAGAGCTAATAAAATAATCCCAAAATAGCACGAAATTCGCTCTTTGTCTCTCTCTCTATCTTTGTGCTTTTCCATTTTTGTGCTGCCACAATAAGCACAGCAAATACAAAAAGCCTCCTCATCGTCCTCGGAATCACTCCCATCATCATCATGGTGCCATGAAGAGCAGCTGTATATGATACTCTGCTGTATGGTCACCACACAAGGTCGGTGGCAAGACAAGCCAGAAAAAACCGGTTTCCCGATAGTAACCCGGAGGAGGAGGAAGAGGATGAAGAATGGAAAATGCCAACGACCACGTCGAATGATCAATCAGTGATCATCATTTGGATTATATTCTTTGGATCAGCCCTGCTTGGCATTCGCTGATTGTGCGACGGAGAACTTGATGCCCTTCTTCTCCAACAACCGCTTCAACTGCAGGATCTGGTCCACAGTTGGGCCGCTCTTCTTGGCCGAGCCCTTGTCCTCTCTGAAGTCGTCAAAGTTGGTGCTCCTAATGATAATAATATTAATAAAACAGAATTAATATAATAATAATATTGATAATAATAAAAATATAGTGTGAATAATAAGAATAATCTAGTGTGAATACTAAGAATAATATAGTGTGAATAATAAGAATAATACAGCAATAATAATAATAGAGTGAAAATAAGAATAATATTATTGTAACAATAATAATGATATGGATGAGCTAGACATACATTAGTGAAACTCAGTTAAACAAGAAATATCCTGTTGTTTTAAATAACCTGATATCATTACTATATATTAATATAGTAATAATAATAATAATAATATAGTAAAAAAAAGAAAGTAATAAGAATATGGAAGGGCCACAGACATACATTAGCTAGTGAAACTGAGTGAAAACAGGAATACCCTGTTGTTTTAATTCCCCTTTTGGATAACTATTGCTAAAAATGTGCACACTGCACAGATTATGAAAAATATTCAAATTTTAATGCATCCTGTTCTTGTTTACTTGTTCAATGTCAATCTAAACATTTTGCAATACCTTTTTGAAAATGTGTGAGTGCACAAATAGTTTTATTCACTGGCACAGTACTTTTGAGAGGTGCACCATCATTTTTGAACTGGTAAATTAGGTAAACACGTATATACTGTGTGCCCAGGAGGCACATAGTGAAGTTTCCAGTGGAAAAATGCTCATTATCCAAGAATTGAAATGGCTGAGAGTATAAATTTAAAGTAAAAATTCTCACTTCAATTGCGTTAAATTCGCTCGTCCTTCATGAGATATTCGCAATGCAATCCAAAGGAAAGTGTAAAATTTGAAGGAAAATATCAAACTAGACTATGAACTCATAGTCTAGTCATAGCATGACATGCACTCCTTTTTGTGGTCCTGATGTTTCTGGGGATATGTGTGTACATCATGTAATCAAGTAAATAGAATACATGTTTTACACTCAATGCAGAAAATTTTGTTTGCATCAACAAAAAATAAATGACACTCAAAATCTGGTTGATGTTAACAATGTTCACCCAAAAAATCATTGGGGGAAATTTCACTGCAGTTTCTGAACATTCATTTCTGTCCATTTTTATTTTTCTGATATATTGTGCATAAAAAATTGAAAACTTTGGAGCAGCCCTTTGCAAACTGTTGCAGAGCTAGTGCATCGTGGAAAGAATTGCAGTATCTCTCCTTACATAAAAAGACAAAAGAAAAAGCAAAAATGTTGTTTTGGACTGGTTAAGTCTATATACAGAAACTAAAAATCACATCATTGCCCTCTGGGTACATATTCCAAGGAAAGTTCAATTAAATCATTTCTAGTAAAGAATTTGGAAAATAGTTGAAGCTAAGCGTCAATTGCTTCATTATATCTACTGAATTTTAAGAGCACTCTTCATTTCAACCTTTTTTTTGTTGAAAAAGTGTCAACTTACTTGTTGGACGAGGAATTGGACGAGCCCTTGGGGTCAGAGCTGCAACAAGAGGTGTTGTTGGACTTGTTGTTTGACCCTGGTTTTTCATCAGAGAGAGTCAAAATATCGTTGATATGAGTCTCAATTGCAGTGTTTCTTGTTGGGGCACATTGTGCCATCACCAGGGAGCACACAAGTGCAAAAGCAATCTGAAAAACAAAACATATGCTTCAAATAAAAATTTCCGAGGGAGAAAATTTGACTTTCTTGTGTTTCTAAGGTACACAAGTTACTTCAAAGGTGAAAACAGTCAAACGTAAAGAAAAGAATCCACTATTTTTGTGGCACTTTTAACAGGCTTGGTAATCAAAAAAAATCTGAAATACTAGGAAAATTATATATATACATTGTTGTACCTTGAAATTCAGCCTCCTGCAATTCAACTGTCCCACAATTGAATGGTCAAATTTGCAGCAAGGTTGACTTGCAATTTGACCCTTTCACCACAATTTGACCTGCTTGGTCACTTTTTTGCATTTTTGTATACTGATGAATATTTTAAAATTTCACACGGTGTCTCGCAATTTGATTGCTTTGAATTTTTACCCTAGTTTGGCAATGGATTAATGTCAAACTGTGAGGTACTGCCTGTAATAGGAAAATGAATTGTTATTCATCTACAGAGAAGAATCAAAATTTTCTTTGGGATTTGTAAATTATTCCTGGCTAATATTTTCAAAGAATGTAAATACAATTTTGTGTCTTTTTTGGATTTTTTCTATAATTGGGACCTCTAACAGAAATTTGAATTATATTTTTGGTTTATGAAAGGTAAAAATTAATCCACAGGAGCACATTTGACCACTTGTCAATAATTTGGGTTGGTGGAATTTCAATGTAATTTCCAATGCTTGTACCATTAAGATTTTTTTTCAAACTGAATTGGGGTGCAGGGTTTGACTGTATTATTGCGATCAATAATAACTCAACTCACCAAAGCTGAACGTTGCATGTTGTTGCCAACCTCTATGAGGGATTCACTTCCTCAGTAGGATGTATAATGTCGAATTCAATCCACAAAAGGAAAGAAATAACTAATTCAAACTGGATTTTATTCCAAGAAAGTGGAGAAAAAAGCACAGACTTGGCCTTTGGCAGCCCTCGCCTTCCCAATAATAATTAAGATAATACTGGAAACTGCGGGTGAGAGGTGTGTTGGGTTCGCTGGCTGGATCCCGTCTGAATCCCGATTCCCCGGGTTCACTGGGCTAAATACGAAACCCTCCCCCCCCCCCTTCTCTTCTGGGCAATCAGTAAAGTTAGGATTGATCAGTATCTCGTGCGCTCGTGTTCACGGCTGTCCTTCGTCAGGATTTATAACGAGTTTTTTTTTTCTCATGGGTCTTTTGTTTTATGATAATTTTTTAGGGAAGTAAAATTAAAACCTCGTTCCTTGTGACGAAAATTCCATGGCCGAAGCCTCGGGGTTTTATCTGATCTGAACAATTGGATCGACTTTAATTGTATTGGACATTTTTGAGGATGAGGCAGGCGAGTGAATCGAGTTGAATTGTACCCGATTCTCATTTGGCCGTGAATTTGGAACTAATTTTGTCAGATAATCAAAAAGACGTTTCTCGTCCTTGGATTCGTCTCCACATTTCGGCTATAAATAAAGTTGAAGAACAATTCCCCTCTCTATTTTTTCAAGAACATTTTTGGTATGTAGGAGGTACCCAAAGAAATGTTGAATGATTGATTGTTCTTCCTGCTGCTATAAAATATACAAGCGAACATCTTGAGAAGTCTATATTATTGAGGAATTTAAAATTTTTTTGGGAGTGGAACCTCATTAGATGAGTATTCAGTGCAGAACGTACTGCAGTATGTATAAAGTACTCTTACCTGATGAGATCAGTTTATCCTTCAAAATGTGTACAAAAATTGTGGAGGATTATTAAACAAATTCAAAAAATTCCTGCATTTATACAGGTGGTACCTAGAAATTCAACTTCCTGCAATGTGACATTCCTGAAATTCAATAGTCAAATTTCCTGGGAGGTTGACTTGCAATTCAACCTAGGCCATTCAATTTGACCCAAAGGGATGGGCATGAATGACTAAATGTCAAATACAATGTAGAACACATTGCATTTCATGTTTATTTGCAATTTGACCCTAGTCCAGCAATGGATCAGGGTCAAATTGCAGGGCATCACCTGTATTCAAGACTTATGATTATGATTTGTCCTGTTCGATTAGCAAATTCAGAAAAACAACTTATGTTACTGAGTGAATGCAAATGAAATATTTTTAAATGCATCCAGTACCGTATAGTCAAAATAATAAATTTATGAGTCAAACTCATTACGCATGAAGAAAAATAAGATAACCACAAAATCTCTCAAAATTACCTTTTGAGAATAGTTACCACAGAATTCAATAATGACTTTCAAATGTTTGTCACCCCTTTATATTTTCTCTAATTACTGAGGAAGAAATCCAGGGAAATTTTCCATTGAGAAAGCCTGCCAAATATGGAAAATAATGGCACCATGAAACATCAACAGCTAAAATTAAAATTTGCTTCAAGAAATACTGTAAGTTAGAAAAATATTCCTACAATTAATCCTTCCGTGGCAAAGTCAGGATATATTTGCAAAATGTTGTGAAAAGAGTTCTAAAAAAAAGAAAATGAGCTGAGTACCAAAGCAAAAGTCAAGAAAAGGTGCAATTTGTTCTCTGCTTATTGCAGAAAACTTATTTTGTTGAAAAAATCCTTGTTGGGCAACATTATTTTCCTGTATTCCTTGAAGGAAATTAAAATGGACAATTTCTGAAAAAGAAGGGTTCACTCTTCCAAGAGTTTTTTTGCCTTAGGTCTTCCAAATCTGGGTGCATTTCATTGACCTTTCATCTGGATTCCATCTGTGCGTAAAAAACATCCCAAGTTTTCCATGGGATGGAAAGAAGGCTTTTGGTTCCCTGACAGATGTTGCCAGAAGTGGAAAGGTGATTGCCCAGGGTGCAAACTTGGCACAAGATGGCAGCATGTGCATAACCCAAAATCCCTGCTATTATTTGGCTGGTTCAAGGCATTGTGGCAAACTGGTGGCAATACAGGAATTGGGGCAAGGATAGGAGCATGATGCAGGGAACAAATTCACTCAAATTCTTCACGTGCATCTGAGAGGATATATGGCTCTTGAGAGCTGATATGAATGTGTTATGTGTGATTGACTTTTGTCTGATTGTTGAGAAGTTAGAATGTTGTTTTTCTGTGAGTTGTATAACCATGCTGCATCCACACTGGTCACTCTCTTTTACTGTGAACAAATTGATGTTTGCTGCTGCATAATTGCTGACTGCTGTGTTTGAATTATTTCAAACCTTCCTTAAATTCTTTGTTGAATTCTGGTCTGACAGAGGCTGCTGTCATCAAAATGTTAAATTGAATCAATTTTACAAGGAATGATTAGGGATGACTTTTTGCCTTGTCCCACTGGTTAAATGTTATTTTCCCTCAAAAAATATATATTGACCTACAATTTGCCACCTACTTTTCTGACTTCATTCCCAAAAAGAGAAAGGTGTGTGTAATGGTGACTGTGTAAAATACATACCAAATCATTGTGAAAGAAGTAAGTGAGTAATTTGAATTATGTATATCTGTGCTGTTCCTCAACCCATGGTCCAAGGACTGGTACCAGTCCACAGAGGTCTTTTTAACATTTCACAGAAAATTTTCTTCATCATAAAACTAAATCTCTTCATAGTTACTACACACAGTAGAAATAGACTTTGAAAACTTTCTGTTACCGTCAACTTTAGTAAACTACTTTTTAAATTCAACGCAAAAGAGGATTATCACGAAGTCTGTATAAAAGTCCTAGTGAAATGAATAATTTTAATGTTTCATTCTGAGAGACCTTCATTCAAACCCAACATTTTCAATTTTTTAAAAGACATTATGCTATATAGCGGCTTCATTACCGGATCTTAACTTCATTTTTTCTCAACAGCAGAAACATGTTGAAATACCTTTCATAAAGTCTATCAAACACCACTTTTTTGAGTGTGCAAAATTTTATAAAACTTTGCTTGGCTGCAAAAATGTTTTTGGAAGTTTGTTGGTCTGTGGGACCAAAAAGGTTGGGGAACACTTTTCTATAAAGTCTATGTAACAATCCAAGTTCAAATTTTGAGCACTTCTTAATTGTATTGACTTTGATGCATCCTAATGCCTATGTCCTAGTGACTCCCAACAAAGAAATGAATGAACACTGGTCATCAGATGAATTTCTCAAATCTCTTCAGCGCAGGCAGAAAACCAAATTGCAACACAAGTGCAAATTGGTAACCTATAAACCTTCCCAACAGACCATGAAAAAAAAAAAAAGAATTCAAGCTGATTGACAAGAACATCCCATCAAATTTCCATTGTCATCATGCAATAAGGTTTCAATTTATTTTCCACCAATACAAAGCCTGGTCATCAAGGCAACATCGGCATCATGTGCGGATCAGCCACATTTGGATTCATCAACGGGAAATCGCTTGGCTTTCTGTTACCCCCCATGCCAATAACCCCGGTGCCATTCCCATCAGCACCCATGCCGCCAAATATTGGCCCACCACCGCCATCACCACCAGCACCGGCGCCAAATAAGGACTGGTGGAACTCTCGGATTTTGTCCATGATGTTCCCGATGTTGAATCCATTCTCGTCTAGATGTCGCCCGCCGGGTGGCAGAAGAAACGGCATGGATCCGTTAACAGCGGATGTGTTGACAGCGTGCACCACGGAATGGGCCTGTTGAAACCCCCTGAGGCGACCCTGGGAGTCCCTGAATTCCTTGCGGAACACGGACTTGACCGCGTTTGACTTGGGGTCCTTTTCACGGTGCAGAGACGCGTTGATGTGACCTCCGCCGAATTTATCTTTCAGCTGCAAAGAGTTCAGTTTAGTTCAGATCAATTTGTATGATTAATTGAGGTTAGCTTAATTTAGGTCAGGCTATATAGTTCAGCTTAGGTTGATTCAGCTCTGGTTGGGTTAGGCCAGTGTTCCCCAATCTTATTTGGTCTGCAGAAGTTTTTGCTGGTCCACAGGAAATTTTCTTCAGCATAATGAGTTCATCAAAATTAGTAATGAAGCGTGTACCATATTTTTATCTGAAATTTCAGAAAGACAAAGAAAGTTTTAATTATTTTATGAAAAATTGAAATTGTTTTTGCCTAATAATGCTTTAGAAACATTTTCACCTGCTGACAAAATTGTTTTCATTTTTCATTCTGAGGAACCTTTCTTATTCAAGCCCACCTTTCCAATTTTTGAAAACATTCCCCTGGAGCAGCTTTGATATGGTTATTAACTCAAAGGTTGAAAAAAGCAAAAACTTTGTAAATCCTACCATTTTCAAACAAAACTTGTTTGAGTCTACAAAATTTTTTATGAAACTTTACCTGTCTGCAGAATTTTTTGTGGAAATTTGCCAGCTTTAAAAATTTATAAAAGGAAATTTGCTGGTTTGTGGGCCCAAAAAAGGCTGGGGAACACTGCTTTAGGGTATAGATTGATTTATTTTTTGCTACTTCACCTTGAAAATTTTTTAGATGATGCATTGTGAGAAAAATATTTGCAAATCAATTTCAGATGTCCCCAAAAGTCACTTAGAGGAAAGACCAACATTTTGGAGGTTGTGGGAGAAGACTGGTAGGGAAGGAATTATTGGTTGAAATACTGTACCTCAAACATGTTCTGCTCCAAAAGAGGCAGAGAGTAAAAACAAATTGAACTTGAAACTCCAGAAATAGAACCTCCCAAAGTCAAATACCTTCATGAGTTTTATTTATTTTTTATTGAGGAACAATGCATCAAAAATCCAAGGATTTAATCCTCAAGCCTCCAAAACTGAAAGTTCCTGGAGGCCTTTTGGCTATTATTTTACTGACACAAGTAAGAGAAAACAAATGAAAGCGTAACTTGATGTGATTTGGAAGTAAGTGAAATACTAATTGGGAAAATGAACCCCTGCCACAAGTGAAGCATCCTTTCAACTCATTTATAAAGCAATTTAAGGCCTAGGATATCACCAATTACAATTTCAAGTTATTACTTTTTTCAACAAAAAAGCTTGCTTCCCATAAATTGAAACTTCCCTCAATCAATTTTGTATGGTCCCTGAAATTTGACTTGAAGAGGTATACATGCTGCATTAAAAATGAATCCTGTTGTTTTTTCATTTGTAAAACTGAGGAAGAAACGAAATAACTTCAAAATGAAAGATATATAATATGACTTTTCGCGCGCAAATATTAGGACTGGCGAATGAACCTCAGGTACGCAACCCTTTTGTAAAGGTCATAATGATTTTATGATTGAGGAAACCTTCTTATAGGAATGCCGACTCATTCACTGTATTACCCGACATTCCTGATAGAGTGTTTTATATAGCATCGACAAGTTGTTACACACGAAACTGGTCCGTAGTAATGGAATTGTCATGTAAATTGGTTTTTCTCTCGAATCGTCGCCAAGTAAATTATTTTCTCTCTGCCTTCATTATTTCTAGTCAACCTATCCAGTGAATAACTCGGGCTAAGAATAGAAAAGCGTGAGACCATCAGGAAGGAATTTCTGTTTTTAATTGTTGACAGAAACGGCCATTCTTTAATTCATGTACAGTATAGAGTCAACCTCTGCATACAGGTACATGAATATTTCTTGACATTTTATTTATACACGATTATTTACCTGCATTGATTGAAGGCACATAGCTGCATTTTTGGACTGGAATTAAGATTTGACTCTTGGTATTGTTCGGAAATTTTCAAAAAACCATTCAAATTGATAGGAATATTGCAAAATAAAGGATAAATGTTCAACGGCAATGATGTGATCTGCTTTCCATTATTTTGCAGGTACAAAATGGAGAACCTGCAGTAATATTCATAATATTGTCTTTCTGCTTTTTGTCAAATAAAAAAAATTGTGTTCATAAACTTACAGAAAGATTTCTTATTCCCTGTTTGCAACAGGACCTCAGGGGAATTTTTTGCATGAACTTTATGAAACAATTTGTACATTCAAATTATATAACAATCCCACAATTACTGGCTGTTGATCCCTGATCAATGCCAAATTCCCTCTTATTTTCCGTCACTTGCATGTTTTTATTATTATTCAATGTATGAGTTTGTTTCAGGTCATTCAAAGCATTATAGAAGCTATTAAGTGTGCATTTACACATTCTGAATACCTAATTCAGGGATTACAGAAGCTGAAGAAATTGCCTCCAATGTCAACAGACTATTGTCTGTTTGAAGAATATCATCACATCTGGATTATGTTATGATATACACTTTCAGCCCATCAGGGTGCTCTATGAATTATACAGTAAGATTTCTGTATAAAGAAGCAGATTGGAAAATCTTTTACACTACATGAAAAAACCCTTCTTGCAGGAGGGTGGTATTTAATATTACTGTTCTTATAGCCACATACATTGGTATGATTGGTGAATGACTAAATGTGGTATCTTGCAATTTGACCAAAATCTATTGCAAAACTAGGGTCAAATTGAAAAGTGGTGGAATTGTGAGACACTTTCTGAAATTCAAAAATATCAGTATAAAAATGCAAAAAAGTGGCCAAAGCAGGTCAAATTGCAGGGCAAGGGTCAAATTGAAAGTCAACCTCCTGGTAAATTTCAATGTCAAATTGTGTGATGGTCAAATTGCAGGAGGTCAAATTGTGAGGTCCCACCTGCATAACCTTTTCAGATGAGGGAATGAACCTAACCTCTGTCAGAAAGAGATTTCAGACAAGGAAAGAAAACCTTTTCCTTCCAATTGAGAAAGAGGAATTTTTAGAACCAAGATTAATTACAGATAGATTATGACTGTAAGATGAATAAAACAAGATAATCAGCCGGGCTGCGGCCGGGACCAAAGTCCTAGTATGAAATAGTATATTTTCAAATTAACACAAAAAAGAGTTGAGCTCAACAGATACAAAGAATGCCAAACCAATTGAAAATGTTTCTGCAAAACAACGCAAAGTTTTGTCGGACTGTTGCAAGGTCTGAACTGGACTGTGTTTTGGATATAATTCCTCATTGCTTTTATACTGTTTTCCTGACAAACAAACCATCTGTTTTGAATAAAAGTTATCCTTGGAACACAAGGTTTTTTAGCATGACAAATTTGGAGGACATCTCTAGGCTTTTGGAGGAAGATTGTGGGAACTTGAGGTCATCTCTGGTCCCACAAGATTCCTTCTGGATTATTGGCCTTATGCCAATTCCAGCAAATCTTGTGTTTCTAAACACCCCTCAACTATATTTTCAACAACCTCTATAAAAGCTTTGAGGCAAAGCCTTTGATTCCACAGGTGCCAATGCATTTAAAAAATGGAAAACTTATTAGGAAATGATCCAAAGCTGAAATGTGAACTCTTGCTACAATTAAATGCAAGGGACCAGAAAAAATGTGTCATATAGTGAACTACATCATAAACAGCACATATCGCATGGAGAGAGAACTCTGTGGGACCATATAAACATTTGTAATAAAGAAAATCTCATTTTAGACACAATTGTTGTAGAGAGATATTCCACCTGTGTTAATTTGACAGGAAATGTGTCTCCATGAGGCACAAGATGAATTGGATAATACAGTATTGCACATTCTGCTTATTGTGAGAACTTCCATTATACAATTGATGTACAGTAGAAAGATTTGCAAAGAATCAAATACTATACGATGAAGGCTCAATATGAGTCCTCCTCAATTTTTCTCAAGTTTCAAAGATTGTGTACAGCACTTTACTCACAGCAGCAGCACCTCTGGAATGCATCTCCTGTTCACGCCATGCCTTTTCCACAGTGCTCTTGTGGAATTCCAGAGCTGCAATGTGGGACTGGCTGAGGGTCACACTCAGGGGTCCACTGGGGTCAGCAGGGAATTCCCTCAGTCCCTGTGCCTGGTCAGGGTTCAGGATCCTGAAGCCCCCCTCGCGACTGGCCTCATAATTGACTCTTTTCTTCTCCCCACGCTCATCAGTGTACTCATAGATGCCTTGCACTGTTGGTCCACTGGAGGCTATCTGTAATTTATTCCAGGAATGCTCAACACATTACACAAAATCTAATGGATTTGGACTCTGCATAACAATAAATGAGGAAATAAGGGAACAAAAAATTCAAAAATTGACACCACAACATTTTTAGACTTGGAAAAGGTCACACAAACAGCCAATTTTTCTCCTATGAAAAATGTTTGAGGCAGCAAGTTCTGGAATATCACCAATTTATCACTTCAAATACTGTACTTGAAAACTTCAAATTTTAAATAATAGGGTGCAGTTTGGGCAATACAGTGAAATCCTGTAACAAGGAATCTTGTTATACACATACAATGACTTGAAACTTGAAAAAAACAACAAATTTGTATGATGAAATTTCTCATAGAAAAGTGACTCTCCTATAACGGATTTGTAACAAATTAAAAGTTTTCCATGACGTAAAACAAATTTGTGTGAGTAAATGTTAGAAACTTTTGAAGTTTTGGCCAATTACAGTTAAAATTTGTAAACATGGACAAAGCAATCATGGTTTGAGCACTTCTTCTGATGATTGAGAACCCTCATTTTTTTTCAAAATTGAAGAATCAGATATTGTCAAGGAATTTTTCATCTCCAGCTTTAGTGCATGTGTTCTATGGAAAAATTAGAGTGTAGTACATTGCATTGATTGGTAAATTCCACATATTCTTGCTTAAGTACTATTTTTGTTGCTGCATCAAATATATTGGTAAAATATAAATGGATCTTGGTGTTGGCATGAAAAGAACTGTACATGGAAAATCATTCAAGAATGTTTTGCAGCAAGAAAAATGTAGACCTCATGTATTATTTGGAATGCTTGTATGCTTCATGCATTAAATGTGCATCAGCAGGATCAAATTTTCTTTTCCAGATGTAGATGAAGTAAATGTTCATGTAGACCAAAAAAGTTACTGCTTTTTGCAAAATTTGACTTAAGAACTAATGCAGCAGCTCCAGTGGAATATCTTCAAAATTTGGAAAGGTGGGCTTGAAGGAAGAAATATCAGAAAAAAAATTAAGTAATGTTTTCCACAGATTAAAATTTGTCTAAAGTGTAATTAAAATAAATTAAAGACAACTTTTATTTTTCATAAAATAATTTATCCTGCAATGTTTTCTTCAGAATTTCAGATAAAGTCAACAGAGTAATTGCTAATTCTAAATTTATTATAATGGGTAAATTTTCCTTGGGACACATTAAGAAAAAAACTTCTGTGGACTACTATTACTGGAACATGGACCACGCCTAG